CTCAAAGCAAATCAATTCGGTTAGATCCGGACAATTTTATCCTAGTGAGAATGGATGTCCGGGGTTCTATCAGCTGTCGTTATCTGAAGTCGATAACCGTGTCAAAGACAAAAGCTGTGCTCGAGAATAATTATTCGTGATGAATTTTACATCCCAATCACAGTCCTGACCCTTTTAGTTACTCTCATCAAGGCTTTAGCTTCTCCTCAATTAGCCTTTACATCTGCGTCGGTGTTGTCTGCAGTCCAGCTGGCGACAGACATGATGTCAACGTCGCTCTTATCGAACTTGTTCGCCTGACTCTCCTTTTTATCTCTTCAATGTCAAGGTTGTATTGGGAATTGAATCTGGTGTCGTTTTGTAAAGTCACTTCCAAACAAAAAACAATTGATATACCTTCTGTTCGTCTGATAAACTGAAAAAATATTGCTTCAAGGACAAATTATAATTGTTTGGGTCTCATGTCTTCTGAGGAGATTTGTAAATACCATAGTATGCAATACACAACAAACTTGAATGGTGATGATGTACATGTATACATGTATGTTCCATATGGAATAAAGCAGACCCATGTACAAGATATACAGCCATACGTGTCTTACCAGCATCGGTATGTAAAATGCTCCTAGTGTAGAGTAGATGGTGTACCCTTTATCCTGGTTGATGAGACAGGTCTCTCCGTCATACTCGTTCCCTTTTCCCCAGCCCAGTAATGCTGGGACAGAGATCAGAGCTGCATGGGTACACACAACACTGTTAGGCTAATAGCATACAGACGTCAATGGGTAAATGATCAAGACACACAAAACTCTTGGTCCAAACAGCATACAAATCAGGGGTAAACGTACGTTTTTCCAAGCGAAAGTTATTAGATGTGTACAGGCTATTGGGTAAAACGTCTAATGATCAATTAACCTTGAAATCGTTTTTCCTCATCTCTTCAAGTGTGTGAGCGTGCAGGTAATTGATTTTTTTTAGGTCTTCAATGATTTTGCCATAATCCAATGACCTATGCTTTCTGGTATAGCCCATCGGTTGCTCAGTGGTCTCTATTCTGTGTGTGAGATGATGATGACAGAGGGCTGTACTGTGCTCGAGTTACGGTAAATGTACATTCACAACATTAAATAGAATACACATTACAAAGATTATACTGAGCCTCATCATTAGTATGGTACATTCACCACCTTTTGCTAAAACTATCCAAAGAAGTCCAGGTAAAGAACCCATTACAAGTTTAAAGTACTAGCCTGTTGTCAAGGCATGTTCAACGTCTTGATTCACCAATGCAGGTTGACGTTGTAAAAGTACATGGTGGACGCTAACGCAGAAGTCTCGTCAGAAGTACTCTATATGGTTATTTACACGTACTACAGTTACAAGTCAGAAATCGTACTCAACAAACCTTTAAAGACGCCCGCACACATGTTTGGCAATTGAACGTCGTATAATCATAGGTTGAATACGCTGACGTCATTTTAGCGTAATGCCTGTGCAATATAGTCCCTTCAACAGTGAAGACTCCGTATGGTTTTCAACAATCCAAGTACACTTACAAACTTACAAGTTAGAAATCATTCTCAGCAAATCTTCCAAAAAATGTATTTCCGAGTACTTTGAAGTCGTAAAGGAAAGTAAAGGGTGGACGCTAACGTCATTCTAGAGTAATGTCTACGGAATAGAGTCTCTTCAATAGCAAGTACTCCATATAGTTCTTAGCACGTACGGCTAGAGTTACAAGTTAGAAACCTTACTCAACAAATCCTACGAGGCAACTCCATGTATTTCCTGGCACTTAAACGCTGTACTCCATGTAAGTACTCCATCTAGTTCTTAACACGTACTAAAGTTGAAAATCGCACTCAACAAGTGCTTTAAGACAATCCTATACACTTCTGGCGTCATCTACGTAAAGGGTGGATATACCGTTGTTGAGCAAGTGCCTGTGAAACATAATCTTTTTCAACGGAAAGCCATCCATATAGTTCTCAACACGCACTTCTAGTAAAATCAGCAAATCCCTAAAAAACAATACCATACATTTTCTGGCACATTAAGGGTTGTGCAAAAGCTCCCAATAGCAAGACCAGTCCAACCCGGGTAGATACACGCTATAAAGAAAAAGCAGTAGAGATAGTCAGCACGTGGTCAGATTACCAAGTAACACGTAAAGTCTAATACGATTGTAAATTGCAGGGGCAGAGCTGTTGCAAGGGGGCGATAAAGGAAGACCTGTGAATCCATCAGAGGCTCCCATTTCCGCTTCATTCTAGTCCTACCGTTCCACTAGCACTGTGAGCGTAATTAGCGCTGATGTACTCGCGTACAAGGGAGGATGTAATCAATTATGGTCATTTCTCGAAGGCCATATTAACCAGGAAAAATGAAAAACTTGGTCGCCGATCTGCAGCCTCCAGCCTTAAGTGAACCCATCCGCACTTAAGGAACCAGGAAGTAATGAGCATGATTTAGAAGTTTATGCCTTTTCCTTTCGGAAAATCAAAACTACACCCAGCAAGTACCATAATCAATGTTTCAACCAATTGTGTTGAGATTCTAATTTGAAGATATCTAGTCGTGTAAAAAAATTATGGATCATTTCACATGTTTTTCAAAGGTACAAATGAACGGTTTAGAAGTAGAAATTAGCCATGTATAGTAAAAATACTAGTATGGTACATAGCCATTTAGCTTGATAAAAGTTTGTGCACTAAAAGTACTACGAAGACTGTTGCGGATTTGGAAATGTATCAAACAGTGAGGAAGTGAAACTCCTGAGGCAGGACAGAGCAGCATCACGGCTGACAGACCAGAAGGTGTACCGGTGGCCGGGTGGGGAGGGTGGGCAGTTTTGCCACTGACCTCACGTTCAAAGTCACGCAGAGTTAACGTAGAGTCACGCAGTCTGGCATGTTTAAGTGGATTTATTCGTTCAACAAATAAACGTTGGCCCTAGTGAGTCAACATAGAGTCACGCAGTCTAGCAGATTCCTTCGTACAACAAACAAATCAAACAAATGTTAGCCCTAGAGCTATAACTGAACAACGCATAACGTTGTAGGCAGACGAATGTGTTAATCTACACGGAAGCCCCTTGGGTGTCCATTGGGACCGAGTAGATAGCGCTCCGTGGGTCGATACATGGGTGGACGCGGAGGGATACATTACAGAAGCACACATTGCGTGCACCTTACCAGGTTCACATTGTAACTTGGTGTAATTAGACGTATTGATAGGTAAGGATTACGCTTTATGGCCCGGAGAATGTACCTAATCTAGTCGGGAGCACTTCAGAGTGTCTGTCCCACTCTGATTGCACTGAGAAGATCAATACAAAGCGACACTTTTCTGAATTTGCCTCTTTTGTGTGGACCTGTATGTCTGAACGTCACGTTGTAAATCAGTGTAATTGTGCGTACTTTTATTACACGGGATAAAAGGTGGATCAGCACGGAGACCGATTTCGGAGAAATACTGACCCGCTGGTGATGACTCAGTCAGGTGGAGGGGAACGGAGTCAGCAAACGTGATCGCGTAATGGACATTTTACGTTTTGGCCAACTCATATCGTCATGTTCCTAGATCTTTCCAGTCCTGGCGTCCATCCATGTCTGCTTTTCCACAGACCACTGAGCGTCTTAACATTCCACGGATCTCTCAAAGGTGAAGGTCTCTCACTGATCTCTCAACGGCCTACCGAGGTCTGTCAGTGATTTATCTGTTTTCTTTTAATCATTTCCAAGGTCTTGCAGTCATCTTTCAAGGTCTCCCAATGATTAGTCTGAAACACGTTTTGATGATCTCAACTACTCCAACGATTTTGGTTGTTCACCAATGAGGAATCAATGAGGAATCATCGAACGGCCTTTGAGAGATGTTAGAGAAGTTTGTGCGGACAACGGTTGCGCAACTGCCTGGATAAATGGGGCCCATTGCGATGAATATTGTCCATTTTCAACGGCAGGTATTGGCATTATGTAACGGCCTTCCCTCCAAAATCAGCGTTCCCGTTAGAGCACAGCTGGTCGTTTGTTTGATTTACCGAACCACTGGTTTATTCCTCGATACGAGACCGGTGCATTCAGGCTAGCAGTATTAGATATGACAGTTGCTGTAGTAGTTGTGACGGTGGCATGTAGATAAAAAGTTTTAACTTCTCAGTATCAACAATCATTATCTAATAGAGTGGTCATCGACCTCCTTCTATGAACGTCCGCGGTCCAGATCCTCCTAGCCTCTGTACGTGACTCGGAACAACACACAGATTCCGTGCACGCCAAGCCATCACACTATTACCCTGCCTGCTCAACCGAAAACACCACAAATTGTTTTCATAAGCTGGGTATAAGTGCAATTTATTTTCATTTCTGGGGAAAGTAGGTTCGACGATCACAAAACTAGTGATTCAGGGGTTATAATGTCTATGTTAACCTTGCAAAGTACCGCATAGCGTTTCAAAGGAAGATATATGTCTATAATAAACAATGTAGTGGGTTGACCCGTATGTACATATATGGGTATCTCAAGCTTGTATAGACCAAAGGAAGAACTATTTCTTAGAAGCCCGTTTTATCTTTTTTGTAGTCTTCACTACGTCGATTTCGTTATTGTTTTCGAATGTCTTTGATAAGATTTGACAGTTTAGCCCATGGACTAGTTGCCTTTAGTGAATATACAATAGCATTACTGTGCAGCAGGCATTCGCTTTGTGATGACTTCATCTAATTTCTTTGTGTAGGCGGATGGCTTAATCAAGTTTCACAAGAGTCTCTCAAAATAAACTAAAGAATCACTGAGCTGTATGAGGTGTGATGGCCGCATCTGATATTCTTGTCTCCACGATGTGTACATGAAGATTGCAGACATCCTCGGGGTGTAAAACAAAGATAGTATATCAATGTCATCGCTTCTGTCAAAACTTTGTCTGATTTCCTGTACTGCCCGGCTTCATGAAAGTATACAGTCGGAAAATACAGACCCCATCATAACTGTGTAGTTTGTGCCCTGTGTATTGTATTCTCTCCCTGGGTTAGCCTTTAGCAATAGCTATCACTAGCTTGGGTAACCCTGGCTGTCATGTAGCAACATATCCATTATGCTGAACCAATACATGTACATAAATAGGTTTAAAAAAACACAGAGGGCAATGGTGTTTCGTCAAATGCTTTAGAAAACACAAAAGAATAATGTTACTACACTTCCTATGATCTCCTTCGTTCTCACGTTGCGATACTAAAATGCCAGAATGTTCTTCTACTTCTTCAATCGTTGGTGCTATTTGACCGCAATCGGCTGCTGCCCCCCGCTGATGAAGTTTGCCCTATGCCTCCAGCACGCAGGGTGCTATATAATTGTCTAATACATCCCTTTGAAGTACAATCATCCAAAGGTTCCGTCATGTCAATTTTGCCAGATTACATAACTTGCCTCAAATCTCTCATGTTTGAAGGGTACGGCATTTTAAAATCTGCAAATCGATTGCGCTAGTGACACTACGGACTTTTTAAAACACGTCTAAGACAAGTACCAAACTAGCATTCTTGACTTCGTTTGTGTATTTTACCAGTGACTCCCACTTTTAAGGCCCCATAGGGTAAGAAAATCTCTACCTTAAACCAGGAACTTGAAGGCCGGAAATGAGATAATATTTCATAACCAAATCTTGGATCGATTGACATACCTTCGTCTGGAAAATACAAGCCTGCGAAAACGCAAACATACAGACAGACCGAAAATAGTATCTCCGCTTCAAGGTGGACCAAAAAGACATTTTAATCACTCTCTGCCATCGTTATCGCCACCAGACAACCCTAAGATGTTTACCCCCACACCTGTTGACATTTAGACGACGCTAACAGATTGAACCTACTCCTTTACTGTTAATCTGATCATGCAACGTGTCTAGCATACAGGGAACCCTGCGTTTGAAAGTTTGTAAAGTCACACAGACACACAGTCACACCGATACCTTTCATGAAGTAACAAAACTATAATGAATGCAGAAAGTCAACCACCGGTGATAGTTTGGTCTGTATATGGAGTGGTTGGCACATGACTGGTGACTCCTCATCTATCGTCCCTGGTTGAGAACTTAATGATGTGTACAGAGAGACGACAAGCCGACCCTTCAAGGGTTAAAGGTACACCTCAAGCGCGAAGCAGAGCTTTATCAAAAGCAATAGAGCTCGTATATCATAACAATATTATCCATAGGCACGATATGAATCAATTTATCACTAATTCAATCGACGAAACGACAGGTTGTAATATCAGGGCTAAAGGCAACATCAAACAGAAAGATCCTTATTTTCCTTATACAAAGGCAATAAAGCTTGTATATTCTCAATATTGCCACGGACATGATATGAACTGTATTCTGTCATCGGTTGAAGGTTGGGGCCTTGTGACATGTAGAACTCTGAAAACATATATCATTTTATTACGTACCGACATCGGTTGTAAAGCTCACTAATGTCCTCCAGGCGTGAATCTGAGTAACCACTGCACCGGTCTACATAAACGTCATAAAGACATCTCGGCCCACCGACATCATTGCTAAGGCCACAGCAAGTAAGTTTTATGGAGGACATCAGGGCGCACATTAATTTTCGTCTGATTTTGAAAAAAAAATGTGTTGCCCTCTGACGGTTGTCAACATGCCGAAAATGGGCAAAGATTTCTGTTACCATGAAGGAACGTGGATAGCAGATAAATATGAAGAGAGAAGACAAGACAAGGCTCTAATTTAATGTTTTGTCTTCTACTTTGATGTAGTGATGTACTTCATTCCTTTTATATGTAGTGGTGGGTTTGTATATGTGATGTTCTCACTGAATCAAAACCATTTCTACAACATTGAAAGTTTTTTTTTTGCAGATTTGCAGTCTGTAGGATGTCATCCATAAAATTCACTTGCTGTGGCCTAAAACACCGATACAATCATGTACTAAAAGTGACCCACCTGATATGATCCAAACCACGGAGACGAGCATCAGCATGACACGAGACGTCCGGTGAACTCGGTAGGACAGTGGATGAGATATTGCCAGGTATCTGTAAAAACAGTGTGTACAATGTAGACAATGTGCAAATAGAGTATAGACATAATATTTATTACACTATATATCAATATGCTATTACAACGTGCTGTGATATTTTCCAGCTTCGCTATCCACCAGGCTGAGAGTATTAGGTTTAGATAACCCTGCCGCTTCCATATCCCAGATTATCTTTCAAAGTAGTCTTAGCCGTCTTTGATTAAGTCTTTAATCGTGTCATAAATATGTATGACATAATCAGATCAGCGCGCACGGTATTGTTATTGGCAAGGGACGAGAGCGTTTCGTAACGACAACGACTTGGTGAATAAATCTTTCAAATCTGAATCAGTAACTCCATTTCGTAGAAATCTAATTATTGAACCCAACGATGGGATGGTCTGCACCTACCCGCTGTATTTGTGTACATGAATATATTAATCTATCTATTCTTTGATACGATAGACTGAAAATGCATGGCATCATAAATGTTTCAACTGATCCTCTATAGCCAGTCCTTCACTGGACACGCCTTATAAAGATTCCTACACAAGAAAATTACTTCTTCCCAGATTAGACTACTGTACATTCAAATTTCCGCTTTCTGCAGTATCCCATAGATACATAGGGCCCAGCGCGTACAATAAAACGCAACAAATAGGCGCAAAAAACGACATTGCATTTGCAACTCTGTCGTTGAAATGACACGATCGGATATCTTTGAAACGACCTGACGACATCGTCCAATATGCTGTTGATGCCACATCGTAAAACCAATCCGTTATGGCCGTCATTTTGTTTTGTGTGTGAAGTTTTAAGAATGGCAGCTTTACGCTAAGACGGTAAAATAACATAGCATTAACAGTCGTAAAGGTAAATAATGATATATAAAGTTTATGTGCTCGCCTCTAGGAGAACTAAATCATGCTGCATCTAGCAGCCATAGCGGCTTGATATACAATATTCCAAGTCAGGAGAACTTAGGACACCCTATTCCTGTGTCTATATGTATGAGTACACGCAGCCTCGGTGAGAAGGAGCTTCATAGAGCCCTTGACAGTGAGAGTGTTAAGCACACTAACTTCTTAGCCTGTATTACCCTGTAGGTACACTTGTCTTCTGACTCGTTATCAGTCTGATGAAAAATGGAAGATGCCGTCTGAAACGTCGGACTCTTCAGAGAGTTTATCAAGTTTCTTGATTTATTTTGTATTCTTTACCCTTGAGTTGGTTCTTACCTATCTACGCTGATCATACAGAGGTTGATGATGGAGGCGGTACAACAGATGACGTCCACGGAGATCCACAGGTCACACAGCGGCTTGCCCAGTCCCCACTTCCCCTCCAGCTCGTTAGTCAGAGACAGCGGCATCACGGCCATGGCCACCAGCAGGTCCGCTACCGCCTGCAGGGCAGACATTATGGGAGGAGTTCAGGACAATAAACCTCGTCTGCTGAGATATGTTTTTGTTACCCATTGCATTCGTGACTATCCTTTATCTAATCCAATCAAGCTAGGTTGTATTTTTCCCTTGACAGTGATTCATCAACTCACTACCCCTACAGCCTCAACAAAGGCTATGGGAATATCTTTATCTTAAAGTTGTATGTCTTGTACAAGCAGTTAGTACAAAACATTTAAGTATCTTGAATTGCAACACGGTAAGTGGATGGAACTGCTGAATATTCGAGTAAGTGAAACTAAAGCGAATATCACTATTCGTAATTGTCATTTTATAATACAGTATCAAACCATTTTGTGGCCATTCATAAACCGATCCATTGATCCAAATTTTGGACCGATCAGCAAACAGAACTAAAATACATTCTAAATGGCTTCATTGTCAATCACATCTCACATTCATAACTGCAATTATAAGCATTTGATACAAGAGATCTTGAATTATTTTCATTTGGGTTGCACAGTGCCGCGGTGCAAGATATCGTATTACATAAGATACAGCCATCCTTTCCTGAATCATCCGGAGGACTCATCAAAATTACGTTCTCAAACTCAATAACAATGACAGAGTGATTTCATGATTCAGAGTCAATTAGGTTAAGTTTCTAGCATCACATGTGCTTCTGCACTATTTGGGACTGCAAATTGAAATTTATATTGGACTGTACATAAAACATGCTATTAATTATGCCTTGTAATCACATTAAGTATCATATCCCCTATGGCATAGTTTCGGATATTGATGAAAGACATGTACTCGTCTAGAAAATTGGAGGTCTTTTAAAAGCCAATCTATGCATCTGGCTATTAGTGCCGGACCAAACATAAATAAAACAAATTATAATGGTCGTGCTTTTAAAAATAAACTTAACTTTGAAAATGAAGTATAATTTATAATGCACTATTATACTAATACTATTGACTAAGTACTAATAACGGTAAATATCAAATGTGCCATTTACTAATATGAATCAATAATAGAAACTATATAAATCTCAAATCTATGCAATTATTTATATTTATAAAATATATATATATATATTTACATGTCCTCTCATCCCATCCGCATGTGTGTGTAGGGAATTTTAATGAATACACAAGTTGATGTGATTTGCATTTCCTCTGTTTTTTCAGCGCCATTGAAAAACGACTTGTCAAAGTGGAATAGAGCTAGTAAGTGCTGTATTTTGCATATTTCTCCAACAGGGCCGTAAGAAACATACAGAAGCTAGACATCAGCTGGCACTCCATATCAGAACTGATATAACAACGTTTGCAACATTTGCAAGTTTGCCGTGAGACTAATTGTAAGTACCTGGATTTCTGGGAAACATGCATGTGGTAGAGACGCAGGAAAAATACATTTGGCAAGGACATGCAATTAATCAGCAAGTGATAAGCCAAAAAAGCCCACCCAATGCGATAAGCCTACCGTGAAGGCTATTGCCATCCACGCTATCACCAAAACACATTGTAAGATTATTATCTTCAGAGCCACATGTACCCCTTTTACTGCTGTTCTGTTGCCTGACCTACCAGGGAAACAGGGCTAGTAACGACGGCAATGGGAAGCCTCTGGATAGCAGTAAGGAAGGACGTAAAAACAACGCCGAAGTTAAGTACTGAACTTCCAGCCTTCCACAGAAGCAACGGCTTGAAGTTATTTGGCAATCATTTGCAGCATGACGTATAGTTCTGCAGCCATGACTGCCTTTTTAGAAACAAGGCAAAGTGCTCTGCGCCCAAGATGCGCACGATGAAAAGGATGGACGATCGACATAAAAGAGATCAATGAAAAAACATGACGCTTCCTTGACTTGACAAAAGATGTAACCCATTTTTCAAGGCAAACCAAGTTTTGAAAAAGAATTGTGCAATGACAAACGGAAAGGGTAGGAGGAGCAGGACTTCATTACGTGCTGGAGAATTGCCCAGGAACTGGTAATATCACTACATAATTTAACACTACACATGGATGGATGGATGGATGGATGGATGGATGGATGGATGGATGGATGGATGGATGGATGGATGGATGGGTGGATGGATGGATGGATGGATGGATGGATGGATGGATGGATGGATGGATGGATGGATGGATGGATGGATGGATGGATGGATGACATTTTTGTTGATGTCATTTGGGGTGTTATTACTCTTCAAGATCGATCAGCAAACAATCCCTTTTTTCGGGTCCGTCATTGCTATTGGCAATGTTGTTACTCCGGTCAATCTTTGAGCTGTCTAAAATAGTCTCTTCCCCACATATAGTAACAAGACATAGAAAGCTCTGTCCATGCTTCATTTGCACTATTTCCAGTACCTGATGGACTTTTAATACTTTCCTCCTCCATCCGTTACCCCTGAGTTATGTTTGCTCTCGCGATCAAAAGGTCCCTCGGCGTGTGAAGCGCTGCAGCTGGGTTATCCAGTCTTACGGCTAAATGATTATTTTGTCCTTGGTATCCCTTTATGAGGTACCTGAACTTTGGTTTTCTATTTCTGGTTACGCACAGAAAATGACCACATCACTCGCTTGATTCGTTGAGTTCGATCTTTGGTTTAAATCTGCCCTTGCCTTCCCTTCACGAGGTATTGAACTCATCATGTCTCTCTATTTTCGCCTCCACGAAAATGACCACTTCAGCCGTTTCAAAACCTGTCTTTAAATCTTGGTACTACGTAGTTTTCCTTGTAGCTTCCAATTTATACAACCGTTATTTGATTTTAGCCCCGGATCATCGGAATGGTCACATCATTTGCTTGAAAAGTATAACATTTGATTTTGATCCCTCGTAGCTGATTTCCTGAAGCCTTGCGTACAACTGTGTTATCTGTAGAACTGTGATGAGGAACCTCAGGATTGGAGGATAGACGTGATTTGATATTTAAAAAACGGTGGTCAACTAGAGACTATAACCAGAGAACTTGACGTCAACCACACTTGGGATTCCTTATCCCGTTCAAGATCATTACAACGTGTCCGGGGATAGCAGTAATTACATGTAAGGTATGGCTGTGGCGTCTGAACAAGATAAGACATTCTAGACAGTGTAGAAGCTGCAGTAATGTCGCGGAAAATCGTTCAGAGGGCTCAGCTAGCAGACTATAGCGTGTATGTGTAAGCATCTGTTACTTCAGATGTGTCTATTTATTGTAAAAAGGGTCAATGTCGAATCTTGACGTCATATCTAAAAATGAGCGGAACTTATCAAGCACGGTGTTCATGACCCCAAACCCATTTCGTGCGATCATGGACATTATCAGAATAATGTCCTTGGTGCGATAGATAGAAGGCAAGCTGTCAAAATCACCTGGAAACCTTGGAACCCCGGCCGTAGCAAAGGTGTGAACCCTTGGTACGGAGAACATTTTAAGATCCTACTATCAGAATTTCATACACACATTCGCTCACGCACATATCACTCACATACATGTACAGACACACAAAACGTGTTCATTCTACATTCAAAGTTGATAAATCAGCACAGATTATTACAAATTTTTAAACATCGATTAAGGAAACAATTTTGTGCACAGTGATCAAGGAAATAACTTCAGGCGTTTCTCTATTTTTTTCTACTACATCATTACACGCACGGTTTCGTACTGTTGATTCACTGTCAATGCTGTGACTCTTCTCTATCAAAAACAACCTTTCCTTATCTATATCTACGCACAAACGCCACCGTATCCAATTTCCAAACGCATGAGCTCAATCATGACAGGAAACAAACCACTACCTTCGCCGGTTTGACGAATTTTCATGTCACGATTTTGGCAGCTCGCCACCCGACGTTACACTTTGAAGTCTCGTGGTATTTCTTAATAGACTTTTTATGACGTCACAAATCATTCAACTTTTGTTTTGTTGGCAAGTCGCCCGAGACACAGTTGGTATAACGGGAGCTACGAGAAAGTGTAGGGTCAATAAGGCGTAATCTTTACAAGGCAACACCATAATTAGACAATGTTAATAATTTAACCATTGTGTTGTGACGGTAGATTGAAAAGGGCACTAGAGGTGCTCAAATGTATTACAAAACACGAAATTCCATCTCCATGTGTCGCACCTGGTCCCGCGTATACGTACGCCTAATAAGCAATCTTATGTTTGATGTGTTTACTTCTGATTGAATTTGTTGATTGAATTTGTTGAAGACCTTAGAGAGCTATTCAAAACGCACCAAGAGAACATAATTTGATAATGTTATCTGTATTTCAATCTTCCTAATCTAATGAACTACCAAACATCGTTGTCAATATGTTTTGGCGTAGCTTTGTAACAGAATCAGGAATGTTTTGTTTTCACAACGCTTCCTGCATATCTAATAAAACTAGAAAGGCTAACTACGTACCAGGGTACGATTTGCTCTAAATCGATTTAGGTACAGATCGTTTGTTCAAGTATCCTTGACTTTTCGGTTAGTTTGGATACCAAATTTATTGCAGGCGCAGTAAACTAGCCTGCAGCTGTTTTTCACCTCTGAACGACTCCTTTTGCCATGGATGTAGGTGACAAAATACTACGGGCGCTGCTAACAAGGGTAGTAATTTTAAAGTGGTAACAAAAAAGACCTCGATTGATGTACAAATGATAAAGAAGTAAACACCCGGCTCCCCTTTCAAACCCTGCTCCATTCTCTTTGTAGGAAAATATATTACCGCAATTTAAATAGTCGCGGAGATAAAGTTACAAAAGATTCCGCGCGGATTATGTAGAGTATAACTTCATGATGTTACAAAGAATGATTCCTGACTTTGTCAAGGATTCCTTTGTTGACACTGGGTGTTGTTATTGATGCCGGTCAACAATCCGGCACGTCCACAAGTAGACTGATTTACAACTGGGATCACTGGTACCGCAGTAACAGCACAAAACTGGACGCCAATAAATAAAAACGAGGAGGGGGAGGAAGTAAGTAGACAAACAGACCTGAGACACAATGAGGTAGTTTGCCGGTCTCCGCAGCTTTCTGGCGAGTATGACGGACAGACACACCAGGGTGTTTCCTACGATGGTCACGACCATCATGGTGCAGAGGACCAGCGAGACGGCAGTGACTTCAGCTACGGTCCTCCCCGGCCCTTCGTCCGTGCGATTCTGCGGCAGGGTCACGTTGAACAAAGTCGGTCGCACGAGGTCGTCAGACAGCTCCTGTACATCTTCTGACATCTTCGTGGTCCAGTTCGCTTGTGAAAGTCTTTGGCCATTGCCAATGCCTTTGCCGCCGTGCCGTTGCCTAGGCCAGAATACCGTAGCACCACCACTTCACAAGCCTTAACACATGGCAACTGCGCACCATGCACTGGAGAGCTGAGATCGCGCGTGGCAGGTTTATTAAGAGGTTCGTTTCTATGGGGACGTCGGCTGGTTTATTGCACTTGCCTTGCGCAGGTGGTTCTCTCTCACGTGATGCCGATTAGCCAATGAAAAGCTGTTAGTGTTTGCGCTATACTGATCGAATTTGTTGCTAGCTGACCGATCAGGTTATTTGTTGGGCCGTTATACTGATTTACTTTCAATCAAACATTAGATAAAATGTAGAATGTACATTTAAAACGTACAACAGTTAATGCAACAATATTGGAATTGATTTTTGGATCAACTCTCATAATTCTGTCGTGTACATTTAAAAATGGTAAATTAAAAGAGACCCACTACTGCAGCATTAGTAATCTCCGAGGTATGCATCCTTCAGATATCCAGATGTTCAGAACAGTCTAGAAAAGGCCTCGATAATACTGTTTTTGATGTGACGGTCTTATCAGAGTTGAATAGTCTGCTTAAACATAATGAAAGGTTTCTTCTTATTATATCTATTGAGCTCGAGGTTTATTGAGTTAGCTGCCCACCCGAGGGTGACAGCTATTCTTCCAGGAGAGTGCATAAAACATAACAGTACATCAACATACAATTATATATACGTTACATAGTTATTTAAAGGAAAACAAAAGTGTAACGTCGTATGTGCTTTACTTTGTTATTCATGTCCCTCGTGTGCTTTAGTAGGCATTGTTTGAACTTCTTGATTTCATTTCCACTTCCATTCCCGTGTAATACGATTACGATGATGGTATCTTCACGTTTTCATACTGGTACATCCTGTCCTTTCTTTTCAGTTAAAACGATTAGACCTCTTTAAAACGCCTCCTCTTTCGTGCCTTACTGAGATTTCCAAGAATTTGGTGTTACCGTGTTTATGTCCGTGTTACAGCCTACATATATCCGTATCCCTGCTTTGTAGATATGACAATATGTCCGAACATGCCTAGACATAAGAGATTCCACTTAAAATTGTACAAGTATATAGTTTTACCGTGTTTTAGCAGGTATTTACAGCAGAATCGTTGTTTGTTGAGTAATTGAACTTGATCATATACATTTGCAGGAGCTATATAATTATTGATGTATTTTAGATCTTTCCAATGAATTTCTTTTTAATCTCCTTGGGCCATCAAGTGAACTGTGTTGGAAAAAAGGGAATTTTAGGAAATCAAGACGTAAACACACGGTCATAAACATTAGTAAACAAATGACAAGTTACTGAATATCAAACAAAGATATTTGTACTTATTTGAAGAGCGGATTTTGTACGGCATGTTTATCTAGACGCCTACATGTAAGAGATGTGAGTTTGTCATTGATGTTGTCCATTGAAAATTTTGCATATGTTCCACTGCATATGAGGTTCCCGTGAGCAGCCTCTGCGCGCTGCAATAACCCAGACGGATATTTTCTCGGTGATTGATCAAAACCTCCAAGTCGTGTGCCTGGAGGTGGAAACATCGGAATGGCTCACTTCAAGGAACAAAGTTAACATCTTTCGTCCACAAATATGATTTCCGCGTGGACTACGACAATTGCGTGACGCTCTGAAACCAGATCAAAGTCAAGTTGGAGACCCTGAAACATCGTGTTGGCGCTTCCTTCGCTTCATCCAAGTGACAAGTGTCAGGTTTGTCATATTCTGTTGGAAGGAACCTCAGAGAGTTAATTTGACTCAAAAGGGTCACAAGAAAAACTGCCCAATAAAGACAGCCCTGCAGGGAGCCTGAATTGTTTCACTATTTCTCGAGCGTTTTGCAGGATTCTGTGTAACTGCCACAGACTTTTGGAGAGGAGGCCCAATATTCCCTGACTGACAGCGAGAGCTTGTGTAACACTGGTTATCCTGGGCTGCTCTGTCGGCAGGCCGCTCTGTTGGCGGCCTGTTGTGGCTCTCTTCACAACAGCTTGTGCTGTCACGTACTTCCCCGCCTACGCCGGTCTAAACACTAAGAGACATGTGGACCTGAGCGATAGCCTGATTTGCAATTGTTCTAGTTTTCCTTTGTAGGAAGATATAACCGTTATCACCATGGTGCCCACCTGTGGCTGATGTGTGAACCCGCCCACGCACAGGATATTCGTGTTGGAGCCCGTAAGGCGGGTTAACAAATGTGTGTGCAGTCGGACAAATGTAGGCGGTTAGGCCACACCGTCTTAATCTTATGGATGACATCGTCTGAAGACCCCCAAACTAATGCGCACGGGCGAATAAAAAAAAGTCCGGCCAAAAATAAAAATGCTACTAAACCGCTGGCATTGTGAATTTGCGGCAGTACATAGCGACGTAAACTACAAGCCGCCACATGCCGGCTTTTCGCGGAATATGAACCGGCCCTGTACGTATGTAACTCGCCTTCGGTGCCGTCCTCCATAGTTACCACCGGCTCCGTATTGTCGCTAACTACCATGGACTACCCAGGCCTAGAACCAGGCCAGAGCCTCGGAGGACGTGATTTTTATGTTTACCGAAGGAAAACATATTGTTTTTACTCCGTTTCTTCTTCTTCTTCTCCAAACAGTGACCTATGACCTGACCAATGACATGATTTGTTGACGTCTTTCACCATAGTGACTGGTGTTGGGTTACATAACGTTGCAATTTCATGATCTGCTCTGCTCCTGTCACCATATACTAGTAGTACAATGTATTTGAATGTGTAAGAATTACTAGGGCGGACCATGTCCGAAGGTAAACATTATGCATTTACTTTGCAAATGTTACTTCTCTAGGTTTTTTTTTACAACAGGCAAAAATCAATGCGCACGCGGATGTCATCCATAAAATTAAGGCTGTGTGGCCTTAGTTCTACACGCTTTCTGCCCATGAGGATAATATCTACTCCACAAGGAGATGTAAGGATACCCAAAGACAACGTGACAAAACAGAATGCTTTAAAACGCCCAGCACAAGCCTAACCTCTGCTTGGAGAGCAGATGCCCTTCCCATCAGTGTTGTTGACGTGTATCCATGATCAGTTCTACACACTTTTCTCAGGAATGGAGACCGTCAAGCGACCAAAATTGGATTCAAAACGTATTGTTACCTCCGGGGAAGGAGATATCCTTCCGCGAGGAGGTTTTACTATGGTTCGAAACATTTCTGTCAGCAGCTGTTTCTCGCGATCGGCTGGACGGATTTGTCTGTGGTTCGGTATACGCATTGCTATTGGGCTGCAGATGATGCAGAACGTTTTTGTTTAATTGCATATGTGTTTATGGGCGTCGAAATAAAAGGTTTTTAAGTGCTCCGGACACCCCCGCCATGCTGAAAATGGTAATTACCATGTTGTTAAGGAATGGGGCGGTTGCAGTTTTGGGTCTTAGCATTCAAAAGGGGTCAAACAGAGGGGTGTCTGGTTCCGATAAAAATTTTGGGTGACGGCGCAGCAATGACGGCGCGGGATGACGGCGGGGGTAATGGCGCGGGTGACGGTGCAGGCTGTCAGACTGTGAGACACGTTAATCAACAGTCCATACCGAACCAACCGTCAGTAGTCATCAAACACATACAAACATATTACGCACATAACTTTCATACTACACACAAACAAATAACCTAAACCAATAGAACACAAGAAAACCCGGAGGTTTGAAATCTACGATTTCCCTTGTTCAGAATAGAAAAAGATTACCATGCAACTTCAATCTTATTTCTAACGTAATAATGCTGATCTCATCGTCATCAGCGTTGCTATAAATCAATCATTTGAAGTATTATATTACAGAAACAGCCACTATAGTTTGGACATCTGAAGTGTTAACTGTCGACACAGCAATGCAAATACACTTCATGCTGGAAATTAGTTTCGACCTTAATTTGTTTCTTGTTATATTTCAGTCCATACCATGGTATGGATGAAATATATTGTTTTCCCTCGTTTTTTCTTCTCCTCCTCCATCCTCCCGAGACAGGCAGGGTCGGCGACGCGGTATCGGTGGTGTAAGGTACCGCGCCGCCGGCCCTGCCTCGGTAGGATGCTCCTCCTCCTGTCAAATGGATTCAACTCTGTCATTTTTTAACTAAATGACCTGAAATTTGGTATGAGGGTAGAGTGGGCAATTACCCCTCAAGCTACGGGCCGAGAGCCACCAACAATCCAGGTTGCACTGGGTTAAGTTTGGAATAGTCCACTTTTGCGTGGGAGGGAGATTGCTCCCAAACAGATGTCGGCCTTTCTAGTTGTAATATGTGAATTCTCTTGGTTTTTGTATTACCTCATGCAATATATTTGCTTATATGTACTTCCCCTTAGCTTTGGCGGTTAGTGACCACTAGCGGAATTCATCGGAAGTGCAGTATATCTCACGGGTAATGCTCAATGGCGAGCACCTCATCTCCAAGTAGATGTAAAGTCTAGCTTTTCATGGAGGTATTGCTTTTTATCCGTCTGTGTGTCTGCGTGACTGACTGGTTCTGTTTTCGCATATTTGTGATCAGCATAAATTAATAGATAGAATGGATAGAATGTGATGATATTTGGTATGTGGGCAGGCCTTGGGAAGGCCTATGTCATGTGTATACAGCTGGCGGCTAAGTTTGGTACTGCAGTAAAAGTTTTTATATCTTTTGTCTTGGACATGCCTTTGGTTTTCATTTTTAAAGTGGCAGATATGTTTTCATGCGGGGAAAAATTGGTGTAGATTTGGTCCAACGTGTTTTTCGTTCTACCAATACCTAGCTACCTATATACCAGATATCATGGTAACTTTTCAAGTTATTCCGTCCAGAAACAAGCACACTAAACATGCACACAATCAGACAGACAGACAGACAGACAGACACCTAAAACATAACCTTCTTGGCGAAGGTAATTACTCCACATTTCACATTCCGCATGTATTCTCAGTAACCGTTCGTCTTACCATCCACATACCACAACAAGGTGCGGCACTATTCTAAACGCACGCACGGGTACGCGGGGAGGTCAACAATGGCCCAGGGGCTGACAG